CCCCCCCCCGCCGTGTCCCGAGGGGTCCCGCCGACCCCCGCAAAGCCCCCCCGTCCCACTTGACCCCCTGACAGCCTGGGTCGCCCCTGTTGTGTACCGGTACGCCCCGACCCGTCCCCACCGACCCCCTCACCGTTATGAGCCCCCCTCACCCTCACAGCGCCGCTTTTAAAGTGGCGCCGCGCCTCCCATTGGCCGGTTCGGCCGACTCGCGGCAGCCCATTGGCTCACGGCTCGAGGGGGGGGCGGGCTCTCGTGGGGAGGCCCCGCCCCGGCAGTGAGGGGAGGTGGCGCGGGGCATTGTGGGACGGTGGCGCGGCCTGGCAGGTAAAAACAAGGATCGGGATCGGGATAAAACACCGGGATGGGGATAAAAGGAGCGGGGTAAAACACCGGGAGCGGGATAAAGGGGTGGGGTAGAACACCAGGATTGGGATAAAGGAACGGGGTAGGGCAGGGCGGGCCGCTGTGCGCTCCCGGCCGGTCGCGGCCTGGGCCTGGCCCTGGCTCCCGTTTGTCTTCCCTCATTGCCTTCCCTTATTGCCTTTTCTTTTTGCCTCTTGCAGGGGACGGAGCCGAGATGGCATCGGGGGCCGTAGCGAACGCCGCCCCTGTGGGGGGGGCGAGCGACGTGAGCCTGGAGGAACCGAAGAAGATGACGAGGGAAGACTGGAGGAAAAAGAAGGAACTGGAAGAACAGAGGAAACTCGGGAATGCACCTGCCGAGGTGGATGAAGAGGGAAAGTGAGTTTTATTAAATTGGGGCTAAAGTTCTGAAGTTCTAAAGCTGCTGCTTCAAAGTGCCTTTTTTCTGGTGTAGTTACACAGCAGTCAGGAGGGTGGCACAGGGTTTCTGCGTGAGTCACCGCAGAAGGAAATAGTTGGGACTTGGTAGATCTTCTTTTAACATTCCAGAAGGCAGATGCTCTCCCAAAAAAATGCAGGTTCAGTATTTATCTACTGTGAGCTATTGACAATTCTGCTAAAAGTCCCATTTATGCAGCTATTTACAGGTTGTATTTTAAATGTGAGTAAGGGGGAGCGTCCCTGTGTACCCGCGCTGTTCCCCTTCTCTTGTTTCTGCAGGGCTTGTTGCTTCTGAGGAGACAAATGTTGCTATTTTTGTGCTCGGTAACGTTACACAGAGTAAACCAGTTGCTTTGGAGTCAGGAGTTGAGGTGAATTAGGCAGCAATAAAGTCTCAGTGAAAGTCTCTGTTATCAGGTTTATTTTGCAGTGCATTCTACCAACTTCATTGTTTTATTTTCCCTCCTAAAGCTCTGAACTTCAGTGTGGGAGTTATTTGTTAGGCTGAGTTGCTGTGGGGTCTCTCCCCATGCCACGTGTTTGTGACACAACATCTTTTCCAGGGATATCAATCCTCATATTCCCCAGTACATCTCCTCAGTGCCCTGGTACATAGATCCTTCTAAGAGACCCACTCTAAAGCATCAGAGACCTCAGCCAGAGAAGCAGAAACAGTACAACTCCTCTGGAGACTGGTACAAACGAGGAGTTCAGGAGGTATGAGAAAAGGTTTTGGCATCACATAAAGATTTGTTTTGATTGCAGGGGGAAGTGGTTGATGGTTATGTGGGTCTGAGGGGGGCAGGAGCTGGGAACCCTCTCTCAGCAGGCAGATTGCAGTGTTTGGGGGGGGATCAGAACATTTGGGGTCTGGGTGGGTCACACCTGGGGTGTCACCTGGTGACTCTTGCCCAGGTTTGTGTAACTCTGCCCTCTGTGCCCCTGCCCAGAACTCTGTGGCCACGAGGTACCGAAAAGGAGCCTGTGAGAACTGTGGGGCCCTGACACACAAAAAGAAGGACTGCATGGAGGTAAACTGCACTTCTGTCCCTGGCTTAATGGCTTTGGAAACCATGGGAATGCTCCTCCTGGTGCAAAACAGCCGGCTGTAGGTCAGACAAAAAATACTGGCTTTGGAAAAGCTGTGCTGAAAATGGCTGTGAATGCTGAGATTGGAAACTTCTAAAGAAATTGTTTTGTGGGAAAAATGAAGGGGAAAAGTGATACTGCTTGGGGTGTTGTTGGTGATTTCTGTTTGTAAAAGGGTCTGCAGTAGTAAGTGAAAATGTTTAATGGGTCTTGTTAATTTGCATTAACTCAAGTGCTGCTGTGCTTGTCTTTCTGGGTCATGTCAACCAGAAGCCACCTAGAAACTGTTCTGATTGCTTTCTTAATTGTGGAAAATAGAATTAAAAATTGATGGGGTTTGGAGTCAGTTGTGCTACACTAAAATGCAGAACTACTTGCCTTTGTTTACAGTTCCAATGTTGAATGTAACTGGCTTTAGAGGAGCTTGATTGATAAGATTTTTAAAGGGATATCTGAGTGAGTAATGTATTTTAGCCTAATGGGCTGATGTAACCATCTTTTTCTCTTTCAGAGGCCCAGGAAAGTTGGAGCAAAGTACACAGGGATGAATATTGCCCCAGACGAGCACGTGCAGCCCCAGCTGATGTTTGACTACGACGGGAAGCGGGACCGCTGGAATGGCTATAACCCCGAGGAGCACATGAA